AGAGATCCCTCTGGTAGGGTGGGTGTTCGGAGCGTGGTAGGGGTGGGGTATTGCGAATGTTGAGGGGGATATCCCCAAAGTATGATGGGGAGCATTTGGGTAAGGTTGAGGTTGGTGGATCAGACAAAGGGAGAGAGGTAAAGTTTTGTTTCCCTTCATGGAAACGCCGTTTGGGGTGGGCTTAGGGAGAGAGGGTTGATGGGGTGGGACGTATGTGGGTGTGTGGGGATAGGGAGACAGCTTTTTTATGTAGTATATTTTTGCAAAAATTTGGGGTATACGGGATGGATGGTGGGGTTTTGAGGGGGTGGGTGGGGGAGGGTTCGGGGATTAAAGGGATTGGTTAGATGTGGGAGGTGTGGAAAAGTCTGTGCAGCGGCTTTTGTGCATCATAGGGATTTTGTTTTGTTCATGGGCCCTGAAGGGTAATGGGGATTTGGGGGGTGGGGAAAAAAAGGGGTTTTGGGTGCAACAATGTACAAAACACTTAGTCGTAATAGGGGGATATCGGAATTTGAGGGAAAAGGGGTTTTCCGAAGGTATCGAAATTGAATGTAGAGGTTTGTTGGGGAGTGAGGAAAAAAAAAAAAAGGGGGGGGGGATGTGTTAGGAATTTCAGGGGTTGCACGGGCTGTCTCAGAATTTGGGAAGTATGAGGGTTCCTTTTATGGGTGAAATGGCAGCGAGTTGTGGGGGGTTTTAAATAAGTTTGTGGTGGTTCGTAAGGGAAAAGTTGTTCAGATTTTTTGGACATGGAAAAGAGCAATATTTTTTGAATGTGAAAAGTATCGGTATCTCTGGATGGTTTAGATGTAGAAGGGGGTAAGTTAAATTTGGAATAGGGTAATGTATTTAGGACTGGTGGTTGTTCAAAGAAAAGGACTGCGGGCGTGATAAATAGTTGTGTACCAAATGTACTGTTAATAATGAGTATGTAATGTGTGTGTTTTTATTAAATCAAGTGTATTACAGATGTAAGAGAATTTCATGTACTCAGTATGGGTTGTATATTGTATTCGGTGAAGTTCATTAATATTTTTTGATTGTGGGGTTATAAGGATGTTCATGTACAAAGTGTTAAAAATAGGGTTGGAGGTGAGGGGAAGTAATGTACTGTTGTAGAATAAAAATATAGTACTTGTTTAAGTTAATGTTTAATAGTTGCTAGTAATTTTATTAATGGTAGAAGAATTTGTTTCTTAAAAAAAGGGAAATTTATTTGAAAAAAATTCTAAAAAAACGTGATTGGGGTAAAAATTTGCTTGTGGATGTGTAGTGTTTTTTCGTTTTGGTGATTAGTGTTTTTTCGCTTGTAGGTGATGAGTGTTTGTTCGCTTGTGGGATGTGTGTGTTTTTTCGCTTGTGGGGTGATGTAGTGTTTGTTTGCTTGTAGGATGATGTGTGTTTGTTGTTGTGGGTGATGTAGTGTTTGTTCGCTTGTAGGATGATTTTGTGTTTGTTCGCTTGTGGGGGTGATGTGTGTTTTTCGCTTGTAGGATGATGTAGTGTTTGTTCGCTTTTGGGATGTGTAGTGTTTTTTCGCTTTTTAGGTGTTAGTGTATGGAAGTGAGTGGGGTGAATGTAGTGTTGGAAGTGAGGTGGGATGAATGTGTGTAGGAAGTGAGGTGGGGTGAAAGTGTGTATGGAATGGGTGGGATGAATGTAGTGTATGGAAAGGGGGGGGGGGGGTGAATGTAGTGTATGGAGTGAGGTGGGATGAATGTGTGTATGGAAGTGAGGTGGGGTGAATGTAGTGTAGGAAGTGAGGTGGGGTGAATGTAGTGTATGGAAGTGGGTGGAAGAATTGTGTTGGAAGTGAGGTGGGATGAAGTAGGTTGGGAAATGAGGTGGTGAAAGTAGTGTATGGAAGTGAGGGGGGAGAATGTAGTGATGGAAGTGAGGTGGGTGAATGTAGTGTTGGAAGTGAGGTGGGATGAATGTAGTGTATGGAATGAGGTGGGGTGAATGTGTGTATGGAAATGAGTGGAAACGAATCATTTGTTTATTTACGTGTTTGTTTTTCTTGGGGGGTGTGGGATTGTTATTTTTAACCTTTTTTTGTTTCGTAATTTTTTGGGTGTTAGCATTATGTATTTGTATATGAAGTTTAATTAAATAATAAAAAGTGTGTAAAGAATTTTGGATAATTGAGAAAATCTTCTACATTCAGTTTTATGTAAAAAAGTAAATACCCGTGACATTTGTAGATGAAGGGTTTAGAGAACCCCTGTTTTAAATTTGAACTGTGTAACTTTGGGTATCTTTATTTAGGAAA